ATATATATATATTCATTGGCGGGAATCGAACGCGGGACCTCCGCCTTCAACTCCGTTTTTTTTTTTCTTCCTCTAAGGGGCCCCTGTAGGGTACATACAGGGGCCCCCATACCTTTTTAGGGTACTTCAAGGGGCACTAAGGGGCCCTCCAACACTCTAGGGTACTAAAGGGTACTGTTAGGGGGGGCCCCCATCCTTTTATGGTACAAAAATAGTGCTAAAAGGTGCTCCTAGGGGGCCCCCAACCCTTTAGGGTACTTAAAGTGGTGCTAGGGGCCCCCAAAAGGGTCCTCCTATAGGGGCCCCCAAAAGGGTCCTCCTATAGGGGCCCGCCAAGGGGCCCTCTAGGGGCCCCCAAACCCTTGTAAACCCTTATTAGGGTTTATATACCCTGTAGGGGCCTCCTATACCCTCGGAGATATCCAGGGGGCCCCCCCGTAAACCCTCAAGGATTTATAGGGGGGCCCCCATAGGGTATAATAAGAGGGTACAGTAGAATTGACATAACGGATACCTGTTGCGCTGCTCCTGCTGCGCTGCTACTGGCAAGCTGCTGCTGCTGCTGCTGGGCTGCTGCTGGCAAGCTGCTGCTGCTGCTGCTGCGCTGCTGCTGCAGAAGTGATCGATGCTGCGTGTGTCGCTGCTGTTTTGCTGCTGCTGCTGCTGCTTTGCTTGTTATTGTTGCTTAGCTGCTGCTGCTGCGTTACTCGCCGCTGTGTTGCTGCTGCTGCTGCTGCTGCTGCTGCTGCAGCAGCAGCAGCAACGTAGCAGCAGTAGCTTGTATCTGTATGTAGGGTAAAGGTTAGGAATTTAGTCATACCCTAGTCTTGCTGCTGCTTCTGCTGCTGCTGCTGCTGTTGCTTCTGCTGCTGCTCTTGCTACTGCTTTTGCTGCAGCATTTGCTACTACTCCTGCTGCTTCTGCTGCTGCTTCTGCTGCTGCTTCTGCTGCTGCTTCTGCTGCTACTTCTGCTGCTGCTTCTGCTGCTGCTTCTGCTGCTGCTTCAGCTGCTTCTGCTGCAGTTTCTGCTGCAACAGAAGGTGCTGCTTCTGCTGCTGCTTCTGCTGCTTCTGCTGCAGTTTCTGCTGCAACAGAAGGTGCTGCTGCTTCTGCTGCTCTTGCTGCAGCCTCCGCTGCAGCTTCTGCTGCTGCTTGTGCTGCTGCTTGTGCAGCTGCTTTTTCTGCTGCTTCTTCTGCTGCTACTTGTGCTGCTACTTCTGCTGCTGCTTTTGTTGCTGCTTCTGCTGCTGCTTTTGCTACTGTTTCTGCTGCTGCTTTTGCTGCTGCTTCTGCTGCTGCTAGTAGTACTGCTGGTGCCCTAATTTGTGTCTCTGCTGCTGCTATTGCTGCTGCTACTGCTACTGCTTCTGCTGCTGCTTTTGCTGCTGCTTCTGCTGCTGTTGTTGCTACTGCTTCTGCTGCTGCTTTTGCTGCTCCTTTTGTTGCTGCTTTTGCTACTGCATCTGCTGCTGCTGCTGCTGCTGCTTCTGCTGCTGCTTCTGCTGCTGCTGCTGCTGCTGCTGCTTCTGCTGCTTCCTTTTGATCAGCAGCAGCAGCAGCAAGATTAATTCTTAAGGAAATAAGACGATAGATAGAAACAAGAAGGGCAGATAATGATGAATAAGCAGCAGCAAGAGAGAATATATAGATTGCTGCTGCAGCAGGAGCAGCAATCAGCAATGCATGCATAGGACTCCCTATAGGGGGCCTACCTGGGTACCTGCTGCTGTATAATTTTTTTACGTGTATTGCTGCTGGTGTTATATATATACTAAATAGGAGGCGCAGCAGCAGCATGGACAGCAGCAGCAGCAAGAAGGATCTCTCTATTCTTTTTTTTAATTTATCTTTTTGCTGCTGCTGCTGCTGCTCTTCCTGCTGCTGCTGCAATTCAGCAGCAGAATAATAATACGGACCTAATGCATCCTCTAATTTTATTATATCTCCTTCTTCTAGCTTTCTTAATTCTCCTGCTGCTGCTGCTGCTGCTGCTGCTGCTGCTGTTGCTGCTGTTGCTGCTGTTGCTGTTGCTGCTGCTGATGATAATGCTGATGGTTCTGCTGCTGGTGCTCCTGCTGCAGCTGCTGCTGCAGCAGACTCCTCTTGCTGCTGCTGCCGCTCCTTCCTCCTCTCTAGCAATACAACAGCTCCATCACCTTTGCCACCTGCAAAATATTCCTGATTTGCTGCTGCTGCTGCTGCTGCTGGAAGATCTGCTGCTGCTGGGAGGTTTGCTGCTGCTGCTGCTGCTTGTGCTGATGATGCCGCTGCTGCGTATAAGGGGCCTGTTGCTGTTGCAGCAGCAACGATGCTGCATAGGCCTAAGGCGCCTATATTACGCAGCATCTTGGGGTGTATAGGCAGCTCCTAGTAGCAAATAAATAGTCTTCTCTATTAGCAGCAGCAGCAGCAGCAGCAAATAAAAAGAAAAGGGAGGAAAATAGGTAATAATAACCTTTATATTAATTAATAATAGTGCTTTTGTTGCTGTTGCTGCTGTTGTTGCTGCTGTTGCTGCTGCTGTTATTCCTTATCCAGGCACCGCTCCCGTCCCTTCTCTTGTTCTGCTTCTGCTGCAGCTGTTGCTGCTGTTGCTGCTACTGTTGCTGCTGCTGCTGCAGCTAAATAATTAGGCATTAATATTAATAAGTAGTTCCTTATATAGTCATAAAAAAAGAAGAAGGAAGAAAGTCTTTTGCTGCTCCCCTGTATAGTAGTAGCCTCCGTGGCAGGTACTGCTGCTGCTGCTGCTGTCGCTGCTGTTCCTGCTGCTGCTGTTCCTGCTGCGGCTATACTATATTACCTAGCGAGGTAATAAGGGTATAAAGGAGCATAAATATACAAAAATAAACAAATAATAATTAATTTTAATTAAATAAATAAAAATAAACACCTTTTTATATCTTCTTATGATAAAAAAAGCAGCAGAAGGACAACAGAGCTGCCTATACACCCGGAGAAGGGAGCGACCAAGGGGGCCTCCTCTACTCTTATTATATAAGGGGGAGGGGGGGGGGCCCCTTCTTCCCTATTATTAATATAATTTATTTTATTCTTCTTTTTATTCTTTTTTTATTATTTATTTATTATTTATTCCCTTTATAGTACCCTCTAATGGCAGCCATAACAGAGATACTGTAGCAGCTAACACTAGAAGCAACAGCAGTAGCAGCAGCAGCAGCAGCAGCAGCAGCAGCAGCAATCCCCCCTCTATAGTAAGTAGAGTATTCATTCTTATTTAGTCTTTTGTATTTGTTTATATTATTAATACAATAAATAACAAAAGATATTCCTTAAGGAGGCTTGCATGCAGTGCTGCTGCTGCTGTGCAACAGCAGCAGCAGCAGCAGCAAGACTACTGCAGTAACTGCAGCAACAAGCTGCTGCAGTTGCCCCTTAGGCAGCAACCTCGGCACTACACAGGTAACTTCCTCTGCCCTATGCTCCTCCTCCTCCTCCTCCTGCTGTCCCAGCCACCTGCTTCTGCTGCTGCTGCTGCTGCTGCTGTTTATTAGTATAAAGAGGGAAGCGGAGAGAAAAAGAAGGAAAAAAAAAAAAGAAGGAAAGATATAAAGAGATGGCAGCAAGGGTTTAGGGTTTAGGGTTTAGGGTTTAGATAAGAAAAGAAGGAATAATTGTTATTCTCTTTTTGTCTCCTTTTATTCCCTCTTTATAGGAAGAGGGAATACAATCAAAAACTGCAGCAGCAGCAAGGAGACGGCGGCAGCAGCAGCAACAACAAGGAGACAACAGCAGTAGCTGCAGCAATAAGATCATCCCTTGCCCTGAGGAGACAAACTTCTTACCTCTCTTATAAGAGATAACTTTATCCGCTGCTGCTGTTGCTGCTGCTGTTGCTGCTGCTGTTGCTGCAGCAGCAGCAGCAGCAAGAATATTACGTTAAATGGCTGGAGACTGAGAATCTATAAAAAAGGAATACACAATATACTTCTTGCATGCATACTCTGCTGTTGCTGCTGCTGTTGCTGCTGCTGTTGCTGCTGCTGTTGCTGCTGCACGCGTAATAAATAGCTGCTGCATGCATAATATAATTAATTATAAAAGGGAATACAGAAAACCACTAGCTAGCTGTTATAATGGGGGGGGCCCTCCTAAGGGGCCCCTCCTAAGGGGCCCCTCCTAGGGGGGCCCTCCTGAGGGGCCCCCTTCCCTCTATCTATGGCTAGCTAGGGGAATTATGGCTAGCTAATTGATCTCCTCCCTTCTAGCTGTTTGTCTGTGTCTAGCTAGCTACCCAGCCAAATAGCTAGCTAGGTAGCTACCTACCTACCTACCTAGCTACCTACCTAGCTACCTAGCTAGCTACCTAGCTAGCTACCTAGCTAGCTAGCTAGCTGCCTAGGTAGGTAGCTAAATAATATAAGTTGCTAGCTAAGACAATTTTGCC